AGAGAGAGAGAGAGAGAGAGAGAGAGAGAAAGAAAGAGGCGGTAACGAAAAAGTTGAAAAAGTTGAGGTTAGGTAACAAAGCTTGGGGAATGCTGTAGAAAGATCATATTTTCTTATTTGACAGAGATAGAGAAAGAATGATGATCACTCTTAATTGTTCATTAAGATTTAAGGTTAAAAATGGACGACAGAAGTTTTCTTAGCGAGGAAAAAATTTTTTATCGGCACAAATGTCACGCCAGAGTTTCGACAAGTATTAATAGCGTTTTCTGATATTTTTTTTTTTTTTAGATCGAAGGACACATCGAAAGTTTTAATCGTTTGATCTCTCGATCTATCATTTTGTCGATCTAATATTATATATTATTTTTATAGGCGAGAAAGGAAAAAAGTCAAAGAGAAAAGTTATTCTTTTTTTTTTTTTCTTCTTGTCTCTCTCAAAGAAGCGTAGAAAAGCTAGACCGAATAAAAGAAAGATAACGGATCGCCGAGCGAAGCATCGATGTTATTCTCAGGCCATAATTTATATCCGTTCATCCTCTCGACTCATTCTCGTAAATCCTTGCCAGCTTTTTAGCAGAAAACGTAGGCGACGCGATCATCGCGAAGGGTGGACCGTGTTACCGGGGTTAATTAACGTAACGTAAGGTATCGCCATTAATCTCGGCTTGGTGTACCGCAATATTACCGAACATCCTTAATTAAGACCAGGCTAATAACAAACCGATATTATTTATCGCTATACTCTGTCTCGCGACCTCTGCGACATCTGCATTTCGAGATAATCTGTAACAGAATCGTTCCTGCAGTAATTTTCGATATTTGGATGAGGAGAGGCGAATTTTCGTCAAAAATTTCTTTTATCATCGGTAAATGTTACGTTTTCTCAATTTCTGGAAAGATAGAAACAATTTCGTGTCTTCCTCTTTAACAGAGAATTCTCTTTGAGCAAAGAAAAGAGAGGATAATAAGGGGGAGATGAAGCGCCATTTTTATAAAGAATTGTAAATTAGGCATTGAATCTTTGAGAATCCCGCCCTCTATTCTCTATTGTTTTAGGATTAGGATTTTAATCTTTCACGGCCGATATATTTCTTTTCTTTTCTTTTCTTTTTTGTTTTCTTAACGATCAACGTTCGTGGAAACTTCGAATTGAATATTGCTTGGAAATATTCTACGAATATATATATGTATAGAGAGAGAGAGAAAAAAAATCTACGAAATTACAAAGAGAAACGTTATTAAGCGTCGATTCTTTGAATCTTGATAACTACGATCTATTGTATAAATACACTCCGTTCAATAAAGGATTCCACATTGTCGAAAGTTACGTAACGACGATCTTATCTTCATTCGTTTCTCGTTATATAAAATATATAACATCTGTCCGATTCTTTTAAAAATGGCGACGCATCCACCTCTCCCCTTTCCCTTCCCTATCGATCATCAAAAGAAATTAATAATCTCAGAAATTTTAATTCTCTATAAACCAATTTTTTCGTTTTTTCTCACTTATCTAAAGATAATGTCGTAAAATATATTTTTTCGATCGTACCTTATTTTCAGAGGAGCTGTTTATCGTCGTTGTACGTGCTGCCCTTCATATGCAATTGCGTCCTCGTTTCCTCCTCTGTGTTGACCACTCTGAAGGCTGATGGAGGTTTGAGAATCTTCAAAGACGCGCCAAACGAGTTCGAGGAAGCATTGAAGAGACACAGCATCGACTGCCATTCGGACAAGAACGAGAATCTCCAAGGATGCAGCGGCTCGTTCTTCGTTAGGGACGAGCGTAGTGATCCTGATAGAGGCAAAGAAAGATTTTACAATGGTGACGGTGACAGAGGTTCGAACAGATCTCCGCGCAATTGGAAGTCGCCCGACATCGTAATCAGGTTCGGCCGAGCAGGCTTCAAGAGCTTGAATAGGGAGCAGAAACGGGGAAGAAACGACTTGAATTTCATCAGGTAGATGTAGCAGACTCTGTTGTAACGATTTAAGGATAGCATCTTTTCAAAATTTCAAATTGTTCGAATTACGAGATTCGTTTTATGCAAATTTTTTAATGATCGAAAATAATTCTCTTCGGTACGATGCTTGCTTTGAATCGCTTGATTTACAAAAGTTTCTTCCGATCGAAGACTATTCGTGAAAAAATAACTTCGAGATAATATATTTTTTCTTCTTCACTCTAAAATTTTCAATAATTCTTTTCGATACGATGCTGATTTCCAATCGTTCGAGTTACGAAGGTTTCGTCTGATCATTCGTGAAAAATAACTTCGAGATAATCTTTAGAATTATATCCGAGATCAAAGTATTTTAATTTCTTTAAATTCTCTCTACCGTTATCTATTTTAAAGTTTTCTACAATTCTCTTCGGTATGATAGTCACTTGCTGCATACTAAACTTCGGTTGTGCGTGGTATTCATGGCTGTCGATTTTAATTCATTTCTTGAAGCGATCGTGCCAAAGACACGATAATACGAAACGATGTCGCAAAATAAAAATCACTCTATATAATGAATTTTCTCCATCAGATACGGTCGAGGCATGCAGATTTATCCGGACAGCGTCGTGACAGCAATATGCTCGAATCTATTGTCGAACGAGGACATCCAACCGTACGAGGCAAGGTTACTGCGTTTTTGCAACAGCCTAAACAATAATGACGTCGATCACAGAGAAAACCTGGACTTTTTCGAGGATCGACTCGGCACGAAGCACGATTAAAAAGAAAAGAAACCCTCTCGATCCATCGCGCCAATTCATCGAGATTTGTCGTGTGTCGACCTCTCGGGACGACTCGCCTCGCCTTATTACGATCTTACAAATTTTTCCCATGGACAACGTTGTTATTGGCCGATCCATATATCGAGTTACGAATTTTCCTCGTAAGCTTTCTTGTAAAATAAATTTTATAGATTCGGTTCATGTTTTCTCGTTCTCAATATAAATTAATAATGTTACTCGTATAGAGCAGGTTTTTTTTTTAACCTTTGTAACTTGGCGTTATTATAATTAATTCTTAATTTATTTTTAATTTATATTATTTTATATATTTAATGTTTTTGTAATTAATATATATATATATATATATATATATATATTATATGTGTGTGATGTGATAAGACGTTTATTAAAATTTAATTTATAATGGAAACGAATATTAGTTCGGCATTGGATCGTAACAAGTTGACAGTCCGATGGTATACAGACTTTTCTACTTAAAATTTGAAGATTTATCATTTGTATCGTAATACAACTATTTTTTCGAATATTATTTTATTTAAATAAAAAAATTGTAGCTCATAAATAATATGAACTGCACAAATTATTGCATTGATTTCCAGTTCATTATTATTATAAAATAATAATTCGTGAAAAAAATTAGATTTTTTTAAATTTTATTCCATTTCATAAATTATTTAAAGATACACTTGTTCAGTAATTGAATAAAAATGGCCGAACGAATAACGTTGTTCTATAATGTTTCTTCTGGATATTTTAATATGCATCCACTTGCGTGTATATAAGAAAATTGTATCACCGATCTC